AAGCAGATTTCTACAAAGAAGTGTACTTGTACTCTTTGTCCGTATTGTATAACTTCCATCTCAGTTTTCTTGAGGCGACTGGAATAAGTTTGAATGGCATCAATCTTAAAGCACGAATTTCAAGCTGACTGAAAAAAGGTGGAGGACACATTCTGCTCCAACTCTGATGATTTGTGCTACTTTGGAAAGGTTACCGTCAACTGGAATTCGTGTTGCAATCTGTTGAATACCTAAACTACGTAGTTTTAAGACAAATTAAACTCAAAGGGGAAATCGGTGTGGTTAGCTTTGTCATCCTATTTCCCTGTTATCTGAAGACTCTATCATTCGATATAGCTCATCAGTTTTGATATATCCTGATGAAGTCTAAAATTTATTAGAGTTAAAATGTAACGTCGAACTCCTGTTAATTTTTCTTATCTGAAATGACTTTAAATATTTATATATCCAAAAGTAAATGAGCCGGTTGATATTAGTGTGACAAAAATGGCGACTTACGCCTTACTCTGCAAGAACTGGTGTGGAATAGTGCTCTGGTCCATGCCAATTGCAACACTAAGTCGCATCATCCTGAAGAAAACAGAGGATGCACTGGATGCGGAACTCCGCCCCCAACAGAACAAGCTGGATTCAAGAAAGGCAAATTATGTGCTGATCAAACTGCAACTCTACACTTCGCCACACTTCTCGTTACCTCAATTTCATCGACTTCAAAAAGGCCTTCGACAGCTCAGCGTTGACCAACAAGTAATTTGGAAACTGTTTCAGCACTACGGCGTGCAGTGTCCAACAGCTGTCTATATTGACAGTACCACGTGTCAGGTAAGCAATAACGGAAAACTCAGCAAAACGTTTGAAGTGAAGACAGGAGTAAGAAAACTTCTGCCTGCCTATTATCAATGATGTTATTCCTAAATGTGGTAGGCTTGTGGTAACTTGTGTCTGACTATGGGGAGCAAGCAGACAGGAATACGTTGGACCGATACGAAGACTGTAGAATATCTGGACTTCTCAGATGACTAGTGTTTAATGTCACACAAACTCGAAGCTTTACAGGCTAAATCCAGAAACCTGGCTTATGTAGAATCCAATGCACAGGTTGGGATGGAGCAGGATAAGATGGAGTTTTTTTAATTAACAAACCAATAAGAAGAACATCCAGTACCAATTCCAATCATTGGGCGAAATTTTAAGGAGTTTTGTTCCGTCACTTATCTAGGTGCCACCATTTCAAATACACTCGGAACTAATGAAGATGTCAAAGCCAGAATTGGAAAGGCAAGATACACCATAGTTATTCAGAAATCAGTTTGAAAATCTTCTGCACTCCACCGAAGCATAAAGGACAAGTTTCGGACTTTTGACACCACTGTCAAGTCATTTCTCCAATATGATTCATCATAGACTTCGAGGAGGTGACAAACTACAGTAGCAATAGTGAGGCCAGCTAAAGAGAGCTGCTGAGAATAGGACAAAGTAGAGATGTGCTGTTGAAGAACTATGTTCCACTCAAAACCCAAGGAAACAATAACAATAATGATAATAATATTGATGTAACACTACCACACACTGGAACGGTTATTCAAACTGTTCAAGTCGAAAAAAAGGTAAGTAAAATTGACAGACAACGTTTTATATTCCATAGATAAACATGGTGCAGGCAGGTTCATCCTGCCAGTATTCATTTGCTTGTCTCCGAGATCAAGTCATGCATGTCTAAATACATACCTTAAAACGGTGAAACCGCGAATGGCTCATTGAATCAGCTATGGTTTCTTAGATCATATATGCTACATGGATAACTGTAGTAATTCTAGAGCTAATACATGCAATTATGTCCTGACCCGCAAAGGAACGGGTGCATTTATTAGAACAGAACCAACTCGGGGCAGTTTCGGCTGTCTCTGTTGAATTCTGTGATGACTCTGGATAACTTTAATGATCGCAGTCGGCCTTGTGTCGGCGACGGATTTTTCAAATGTCTGCCCTATCAGTTTGTTGGTAGGTGATCTGCCTACCATGATAATAATGGGTAACAAGGAATCAGGGTTCGATTACGGAGAGGGAGCCTGAGAAATGGCCACCGCATCCAAGGACGGCAGCAGGTGCGAGAGTTACCCACTCCCGGCACGGGGAGGTAGTGACGAAAAATACGAATACGGGACTCAATTGAGGCTCCGTAATTCGAATGAGTACAATTTAAATCCTTTAACGAAGACCAATTGGAGGTAAATATGGTGCATATCGGTGGTTCAATGGCAGAAGGCTTCCCGACCACACAGGAGGTGTGGGTTTGACTCCTTAGTGACAAACATCTAAACCTAAGGAAAAAGTGTCAAGTTTGAAAACCTAAAGACCACTATGTTCCAATCGAAGGGCAAGAAAGGGGAGGAGTGAGAACCGTATATGTGAATATATTCTTACTACTAGAGGAAATTTCAAAATGGTGGAGCGGATACGGGGAAAAATGGTACAATCACTATTTCAGGAAACTTGTCCCGATATTCACTTTGAATGCGTGCATACTGCCGATGATTCCCAAACTAGGCTAATGAAACAGCTGTCCAGTCCTCCAGGACTGGTTTTCAACGGTTCACTAACTGATATCAACCCGTGGTCAAACGCGTAAAAACAAATGTAATCCTTACAAACCAACTATTGAAAATTAATCTGATGCTCGCTAGTCACCACTAGCTACAGGGCGGAGTTTCCTGGATTTCTAGTGAGAAGTCATGACCAGTTAGGTCCATCCAGTCAAGTGTGAGGATGGATGTCCCACCGATGACATTGGTTGGTGCCAGTCACGCTAAATGCAACACGAATTAGTAGAAGTTAGAATTCATGCAGTGGCCATTGAATCGGGTCTCAGTGGCTGAATGGTATACGAGCTTGCTTTGTGCAGGGTTCGAACCCTGGTGGTGGGTGCGCACTGCCAGTGATTCCCAAATTAGGATGAAACAGCTGTCCAGTATGGGAGTACTGATATAAGTCCGTGGTCAAACTCCTAAAAACAAATTTAATCCTTACAAACCAACTCTTGAAAACTATGATATATGGCTAAAAAATGAATGATAAGTTTATCAATAGATTGGTACTCAGAAGGCTTTATTTATGCGATAAAGCTAAGACAAGGTGCCAGTCAACAAGACGGTTAATGTGAAGGCAACAACTGTGTCCTTAATAAACCAAAGTAAAAAGATGAATATACAGCTTGGAGTTCAAAGAATGTATATGATTCAAATGAACTGTCGTCAAGATTTGACAGAATAGTTCTAAAATATTTGGGCGCCGAGTGAGAAGTAGACATTTGTAAAAAATTATATTTGTAAAGTCTCAGCGAGATTGAAATGAGTAATTCCAACGTTTCGTTCGGCAATCTGGTCCGAACTTCTTCAGGGAAATTAATCGAAATTAACATAACATAGGTTTAATATAAAAAGGAACATCACTTGATTTGTATATTATTATTATTCCCTTGGGTTCCTAGTGTAACATAGGGCTTCAACTGCACATCTTCACTTGCTTCTGTCTTCTGATGTACTTTTCACCTGCATCCATGTTAATCCATACTGTTTCAACTCTTCTTCACACGATCTCCTCCATGTCACCCTTGGACGTCCCACTCGCCGCTTCCATTTCGGGTTCCATTCGAGGGCTTGACGCGCGATGTCACCCAGTGGCCTCCTCAGCGAGTGTCCAATCCATCTCCACATTCTCCTGCATATTTGTTGGGCGATTGGTTCTTGTTTTGTTTCTTCCCATAGTTTCTTGTTGGTAATTCTTTCCGGCCATCTGATCTACAGTAGTGTAGAGCGAAGACAGTTGTTGTTGATAAAGGTCTGCAACAGGCTGTTGGAAATATTCTTTGTGACACACTGGCCAAGTTTCTGTTCCTTTAGGAAGAACTGACTGACTTGACGTTTGTATTGAGAATCCGAATCATTTTGTTGTTGATGCTGAGTGACGAAGATTTCCAGATTGGTTTCAGGTTGATGAATGTGTTTCTCGCCTTCCTGATTCTCGATTTGACATCCTCGTCCGTTCCTCCTGTGGTTGAGACAATGCTCCCTAGATAAGTGAAAGAAGTAACCTCTTTCAAATCCCTCCCGTTGATGGTGATTGGCACTGGATGTTGCTGCTGTTGTTGGTTGGTTATTTTCATAACCTCCGTCTTGTCTATGTTCACCTGGAGTCCTGTCTTCACCGGCTGCTTCTTCGACCAGTTTGTCGGTCAGGTTTCGCTTGTAAGTCTTCGATTTTGTGTGACATCAAACATAAATCATCCACGCGCGAAATCCAGGTCTTCTAGGTTCTTCACGTCGGTGGTGCAGGATATCCCCTTTCTTCTCGTTTCCCACTGTCTGACGCATAATCCAGTCGTGCACCACAATTAGGAATATCATTGTTGATAATAAGCACCCTTGTCTGACTCCTAAGAATGAACTGGTTATCAAATACCTTAGTCAATCCACAAAGTAACAGGTAATACTTGATTTAGAACATAATTTGTAATATGGGGTTTCACATCTCAAAACCAACTGTCTAAAGACATTGACAACCTCAATAATTATGTAAAAACACCTGCTGAACTAATAATTCCATTGAAGTGAGGCGTGTCCTGACAAACACAAAACTTAGTCAGTCAAACATAATAGAAACCAACTGGCTGGTTAAATTACACATGTTAACCTACCTAATTAATCAATTTCACGTAGTGCATTGTGATGGGCGTGAAAACACCTTTACTTGCACTCAATCACGCCAAGGAGGTATAAGCGGTCAGTTTATGTATAAATAGGTGAATTATATATATATATATATATATGTATTCCGGTAGAAATATGCAGTTGAGTGAATTCCATACAATGCATGCACATTCCATGTTTCTTATTTCACTGTTCTGGTTGATTTGCTGTTTAGTGTCTCCATGTGTAACCACATGGTTAGTGCGTAGTGGAGAAACAGTTAGGGAGGCGAATGAATTCCCTTTCATTGCTCTTATGGTGACAGACGTTTCAATGTGTACAGCGACATTAATATCAACAAAGGCGATCATCACAGCTGGTCATTGTGTATGTGGACCGACAGCAATCAACAGGGTAAGCATGAGTTTGTGTGTGTGTGTGTGTGAACGACGATTGTATTTTCCTCTCTTGTTGTTTAGGTCTCCTTCCAGACACTGAGTGATTTCGACAAACGTTCCGTGAATTACCAAGTGGCATCGATTGAAATTCCACCAGAATATGATCCTGTATGTCAGCTGAAACGAGCAAGACGACGTACACAACAGTCATTCGGTGGTTATGATATGGCAATTTTAACATTATCCGAAATGGTTGATATGTCTACTGGAATTAAAGTCATTAGTTTGCCTACTGGATCAGATATTCCTGTACCGAATTCTCTGGTTTATATTTTGGGATATGGTTTAGATTCGAAGGCAACGGATGACACACGAGTCTACGGTGGTGTATTGAAGAAAGGTGAGTTGCTGCTGCTGGGCAGTTAAGTTCTTTTTAGTCAATTTTATCCAATGGGTTAATTTTTTTATTGTGCGCAATATTTTGAGAATTTTACACTGGTATAAGAATAAAACTTGTGCACTGTGGTAGAGTGTAATTCCATTATGGGTAAATTTTGTTTTGATAAAGTCTCGCAGTGTTATACAGTAATGTTTACTGATGACGTTTCGAGCACAATTTATTACTGCTCATAATCATATTAAGGTAATCACACGACTTCCTAAATTCATTTATATAGTTCCATTGTTTTTCACTTGATTTTCACTTGATTTGATTGGTAGTAATATTTTTCATATTTCGCGTATGAGTGATGATTCATTCCTATTGCATGTGTTGGGTGTAGATTCACTCGATGAACCAGGATTCAGTAATCAACCCCTGTCTCTCTCCACCTACATAGATTCCCTTTTAGAATTTTAACCCTCTCCCACCCTACTGTGTGGTTGTGTGTTAATGCATGCATTGCAATTGCTGAGCTTTTTTCTAAATTACTCATCTTCTCTGGGTCAACCATTCTTACCTTAGCTAAATTCTTATGTTCTGACAATCTGACTACCCCTGACCTACTAGTTTGACCTATGTAGTTGACCTCATAGTCATTGCAGGGTATTTTGTAAATTATATTATTTTGTTTAATTGAGTCAACCTACAGGGTCCTTCAACCTATAGAGCTTTCCTTCACTTAGTGAATTTGTAGGTTTAAATGACCCCTAATTCTTGCTTTATTTAGAATCCTATGTAGGGTCTCAGATGTCCCCTCTTTGTATGGTATAACAGTAGATGACTTATATTCTCTCTTATTTATTTATAAATAGGTTAAACCACCCAGTTGACCCAATTAGACAAAATAATATAATTTACAAAATACCCTGCAATGACTGTGAGTTAAATCAACTACATAGGTCAAACTAGTAGGTCAGGGGTAGTCAGATTGTCAGAACATAAGAATTTAGCTAAGGTAAGAATGGTTGACCCAGAGAAGATGAGTAATTTAGAAAAAAGCTCAGTAATCGCACTGCATATATTAACACAGAACCACACAATAGGGTGGGAGAGAGCTAAAATTCTAAAAAGTAATCTAGGTAGGTGGAGAGCTAGAGAGGTTGATTACTGAATCCTTGTTCATCGAGTGAATCTACACCCAACACATGCAATAGGAATGATTCATCACTCATACCCGAAATATGGAAAATACTACTACCAATCAAATCAAGTGAAAATCAAGTGAAAAACAACGGAACTATATAAATGAATTTAGGAAGTCGTGTGATTACCTTAATATGATTATGAGCAGTAATAAATTGTGCTCGAAACGTCATCAGTAAATATTACTGTATAACTGTACTGTGAGACTTTATCAAAATAAAATTTACCCATAATGGAATTTTACGCTGGCTTTGATGTTTGTGGATCTGAATGTTTCTCAAGTTATTCATGTTTTATATTTCCAAAGCAAGTTCACTTTTAACAGTTTGAAAAAAATTTGGGCATTCGGTGGTATATGATATTTATTATAATAACGGTTTTCTTGTATTTCCCAATGAATGAAAAACAAAACGATATTGTTTCATTTTTTACTGACGTTTCGCTATTTAATGCTAATGGCGTAGGATTTCATATGATTTCAAATCCCAAATAGAATACCGAGAAATTGATAAAGAAGACATTATGGTAAGGCATAATATGAACATATTATCTACTAGTATCCCTATTACCGAAAGTCTTGACGTCATTTCCGGTTTACTAGAATCAGATACATCACTATCAAATAAATGGCGACTGGACACCAGTGAAATAATTGAGAGCTTAAAATTCTGTCTAGAAAGTGACTGTTTAACATTTAAAGGGAATTTATGTAGACAGACAAATGGTGTTGTTGAGGGTTCACCAGTTTCCCCAATAGTCGCTAATGTTTTTATAAATAAATTCGAAGATGACATCTTTTCAAGCATACTTACTACTAAAATATAGTTAAGATATGTAGGTGATACCTTTGTAATGCTAAAACGAGACCTGTCCAGTTCATTCTAGGAGAAACTGATCAATCTATCTCCCAACATCCAGTTTACTTCGCAATCAGGCAGAATTAGACGTTGGTAAACTACCATTTCTAGACTGCCTCCCTAGTTAAGTGGAGCGAAAACGGACATTTTAGTATATCTGTATTCAGGGAGAAAACCCGCTCCAACAAATATATTTAAACTTCAGCGCAAAGGTATCAGTTGTTTCAAGTCTTCTTAAACGAAAACACTCTTTGATGATAACAGATGAGAAGGAAAAAGACGAAGATGAAATATCAAACATTACTGTGACTCTCAAGCAAAACAACTACCCAAGGAATTTCATCAATAAAATCAACAGTGACATTAAATATGGTCGAAAACGTATTCCGAAGACATGGGCCCCAACAGTTGTTATTCCATATAGATCAGAAGTGTCAGACGATACCAGAAGAGTACTCAATAAGCACGACATCAGACACACTACAAAGCAACCTTGTCCATGTAAAAGATCAAATCCCTAAAGATTCTCTATCTAATAGTGTCTGTAAAATAAAATGCTTGGAATGTGATGTGATATACTACATTGGACAAACCTCGCGAAACGGAAATCAAGGTAATCAGAAGAAATTAACACCGTAGAGTACCTGTTCGACAAAACACCGAGAAATCCAGTTAGTAAACTAGAAAAGCTTGACAAATCATCAGCAAGCCATCGGTGGTGGTCTACACGCTATAGAATCAGGTCACAAAATTGATTTTGACAATATTGAAATCATCATCCAGAAAAAGCATTTCAGAAATCACAAAGAACATCTACTATCATCAGAATCACTTCATATCATCAAATGGAATCCAAATCGTCTGAATAGTCTGAATGATGGACTAAGACAGAATCTGACCTGGTTAGAACACCCCCTCCCCCATGAAATGATGAAATCAACACGGGTATGATAAGCAATTTCATTATGTAAACACATGCTGCTTTTATAATTTTATACACTTATCAAATCCAACAGTCTACACCCTGTTTTGTCATCTTTACCAATTGGCCAATTCGACAACGTGCTGATGAAGGATGATTAAGTTGTTTATACATAAACTGAGTGGATTTTGTAAATTTTGGTTTAATAATACTACTTTGATAAAGCTATTAGCAGAAGCATTAAATAGTGAAACGTCAGTAAAGCCAGCAAAATTGTTTTGTTTTTCATTCCTTGGAAAATACGAAAACACTTTCATTATAATGATTATTCATGCTTATTTCACTTGAGGTTTTGTGCACTTTAGATCACTGGTAAGTGGGACTAGTGCATTCTTGAGCGTCTGCTTATCGAGCAATGTCATTCCCGACCTTTTTGACAATATTTTGTCTAACTCTGAAGCATCTGTAAAACTGTAGGTAGACTGAGGTAGTAGTGTCAAAAATAGAAATATTGGATAGATGAATAGATTAGTGTGACAATGTGAAGGGTTTATATTATTTGGCGTCAAGATAAATCCAAAGAGTTGTAGATACTCCATCTGCTCTGGAATTCAATCATTGTGCGTCGGTGGCACTGTGGTTAGTACTCTCGTTGACCATGTACGTGGTCCAGGGTTCGATTCCCCGCCGACTCACACCCTATGTCAATGGTCGGCCTGAAAAATTGGGCTAGCGATATCACATGCTGAAAATTCCATACTTGTACCAAAAATATGGTGTGGAATCAAGCTATAATCAAAAATAAAAAATAAAAAAATCTCTTATTGTCAGAAATCCACTTAATCTACTTAACAACAGTATATTTTGGAAAGGTATTCACCCTACTTTCGAACTACTTATCTTACTTCCTGTTATAGATTCAATTATTCGATAGTGTTCCGTTTATTCATACTTGAATATTTCTTTCCGCCTTCCCCACTATCCTCCTTATGTCACAGGTCGTGCCACTGTAATGGAATGTTTACACAGAACCGTTGGAAATCCAATCTGTATCCGACCTGGTCCTGATACAGCACAGATTGCTGGTCCAGGTGACAGTGGTGGACCACTCCTGCTAACGCCTCAAGGACCGATTATTGGTGTCGCTTCGAGTGGAGTATATCTGCCAGCTATTAAGGATTTATCTGTAGAATATGCGAGTATCAGTAGATCGCTTGAATTCATTATGTCTAATATTTGAAGTGTACTGCAGGAGACTTCTGCATTGTGTATATCTTCTACGAGGTTTATCATATTTTTATTTTAGTACATTTTGTGTGCATTTCTGTTGAAAAAAATATATATAATTTTTTTAAACAGTTAGTTACCTTTATGAATTTTTGACAAAGCAATAAGAAGACGTATTTTGGTGTGGTTGTGTTCTCTGAGCTGGATGGTTTGGCTGCGAAGCTTTCATTGCTCTACTGAGCAACATCTTCAGCGCATACTTCGATGTGAAGTGAGCTTTTAGAATTCTCTATGAGTTTATTAGTCATCTCTTCTAGTAACCTTGAACGTGATTGGTTGTTTTCGTGTGACGTTTCACCCCCTAGTTTGCTTGTCTCGGTGCTGGCTGCTTCTTTGGTCTGAATGTTGTTAGTCATTCCTTCTGAATCAGCAATCAATAGACACATAGAGATTGACAAAATATACCAATCCATACGAAGAAATTCACACAAAAACAAAGTCAAACTTCAGGTGAAGGAAACAGTCAACACCAAAACAAGTGAACTAGAAAGTGAGAAGTCACACAAAAACAACCAATCACATCCAAGGTTACTAGAAGAGATGACTAATAAACTCATAGAGAATTCTAAAAGCTCACTTCACATCGAAGTATGCGCTGAAGATGTTGCTCAGTAGAGCAATGAGAGCTTCGCAACCAAACCATCCAGCTCAGAGAACACAACCACACCAAAATCATCCACCTGAGCTACAAATCTTCTCTATTATATCTGAAGACGTAATTTGTCTGTCTCAATGGTGTATTGTGTATTTGCGCAACACATTTCGAACAATCTGATCACACTCCGCGGACTTGTCATAGGAATATATATGAAATTAATAAACAGTTAAGAGGTGGAAAAGAGACTTAGGTCAAGTTAAAAGGAGAACATATTGAAGGTGAAAATAACAATGAAGATCATTAAACCCCAAATAACAGATGCAATAGTGTAACGACAGAAGACAAGAGTCAGGCAACAGATCGTTTATTAGGGAAATCAACACTTATTTATATATTCTCATGTACATTATTATAGATTATTGTTAGCAGACAAACACAATCTTCTGATTGGTTGTTTCTCACAGAAAGTTAATCTTTCATCTCTTTGTGGCTGTTTCTTGAATATTAGATCATCTATCTGCTAATTGCATCAGCTTACGCAAAGTCTACTCTCAGTCTTTGTTCTTGTTTTCACATGACTGATATTTGGGAGATAAACATTGAAGTAAATTACTGTCTACCAATTTGGCTAACCAATAACCAACCACCCGACCAATAACAACAACAGCAACATCCAGTGCCAATCACCATCAACGGGAGGAATTTGAAGGAGCTTACTTCATTCACTTATCGAGGGAGCATGGTCTCAACTACACGAGGAACGGACGAGGACGTCAAATCGAGAATCGCGAAGGCGAGAAACACATTCATTTACCTGAAACCAACCAATCTGGAAATCTTCGTTGCTCAACTCAGCATCAACAACAAAATGATTCGGATTTTCAATACAAACGTCAAGTCAGTCAGTTCTTCTATACGTACGGATCAGAAACTTGGCCAGTGTGTCACAAAGAATATTTCCAACAGCCTGTTGCACACCTTCATCAACAACAACTGTCTTCGCTCTATACTACTGAAGATCAGATGGCCGGAAAGAACAAGAACCAACAAGAAACTATGAGAACAAACAAACAAAACAAGAACCAATCGTCCAACAAATATGCAGGAGAAAGTGGAGATGGATTGGACACTCGCTGAGGAGGAGGCCGCTGGGTGACATCGTGCGTCAGGCGAGTGCTCGAGTGGAAGGTGAAAGAGAAGCGGCGAGTTGGTCTTCAGTGCAAGGGTGACATGGATGAGATCGTGTGAAGAGGAGTTGAAACAGGATGGACTAACATGGATGCAGGTGAAAAGTACAGGAGAAGACAGAAGCAAGTGGAGACGTGTAGTTGAAGCTGTGTGTTCCACTAGGAACTCAAGGGAATAATAATATAATAATAATTTGGCTAGCAGCTAGTTCTTACCGCTACCCTGGCTGGTATTAAAAAGAAGTTTACCATGAAAGGTTTAGTTCAGTGACGAAATATCTCTTCTCAGTGACTTCCTTTTCAAGCTAATTGTACAGTCGTATTTATATTACGGATAAAGAAGGCATTACATGGCACTAGAGACTGCTCAGTCAATATTGCACATATGATAAGAATAAAGAGATAATTAAAATGATGTACTAAGGGGGGGGGTAGGATTGAGTTGAAGTGGATGAATTACAAAACTTTTGAAGATTAATAAATAAGTGAACTGCTGTTGAAATTTTAAAAATAGTGGGTCAAGTGAGCTTGAAGAGGAGTCCATTGAAACAAACAATCCTTAGACTGCATTTGTATAAAGGATATATTGACGACACCTTCATTATTGGTGATGAAATTTGACACAATGGACAGAATTTGTAGATCAGATGGATGATACACTGACTCAGCTGCGTTCTCTGCGCAGCTGGTTGGCTTAATTGCGAAGCTTTCGTTGGTTTTATTATAAAATTAAAACTAGTTTTGAATTCTCCATGAATGATATTTATTTGTGTGTCCTGGCAACCACTGTCGTGACTGGTTGTTACTTGATTTATGTTTCTGTTGATCATTTTTAGTGATTTGGAATTTTGAACTTTCTTGTCATGTGTAAATTTGGTCTCTATGAGAATGCGTTTCAACAAAAAAAGAAGAAATATTGGCACAGAATAATCTGGATCCATTTTATTTCGTCGGTTCTCATCAGCTGAGTACAACCTGAATTTTTTAATAAAATAAAAATAAAAGGTGTATAATTTTAACAAACCTTTGTCCATTAGCAAGCATAGTGTCAGAGCGTCATAGTAAAATAAGGCATTGCGATTTACAGGGTGTCTAAAGTGTCACGACATATATATATATCTTGGTAGAGATAAGTTTCTTGAAAAAAATTAGTTAACAGTTGTGTTGTTAAGGTGGTGGCAGCCCCTACAAGGGCGATGACATTATGAGAATGATAAATAAAAGATTAAGCGCAGCCCTGCCTAGGACGTATCCTGCAGTGTTATTTGTCTCTCTATCCCGAACAACCTCTTCACTGATGCAGTCAGAGATTGACAAGTACCCTCACATGTTACCTTCAACTGTATATACCAATTCACATGTATCTGCCGGAGCAGTTACATCGGAATAACAGAGAGGAGACCCTACGTCAGATTCTGCGAACATGTATAAAGGAGCCTCTGGTTAAAGGGACCGAATTATTCAAGCTCTTCAATTGCCAAACATCTGACTGACATAGGACACCCAGTAGATGTGCATGAATCATTCAAAATAATTAACAGACAAAGTACTTCAAGTCCTCTCAGGTTTGCTGAAGCTATAGCAATAAAACGATTGAATCCTGACTTATGTGTCCAAAAAGAATCCGTTGTTGGACTTCAGTTACCTTGGTAACTCACTTCTTAGTAACTCTTTGTTTTCTAATTCTATTAATTTTGTTAACTTATATTTTCACTCCACCCCTTCCCCTTTATGTTACGCTTGACTCTCTTAAGAGATAATTTTTCTTGATCTTCTGAGTTCTTCTCACTGTATTACATCATCAACTTCTCATCTGACCTCATGTGCACCGTAATTTTAAAATTTTGATCTTCACTTATCTAATTACGTAACTGCTGCTAATAGTCTTTTGTTACCACCTAAAAAACACAACTGTTAAATATTTTTTTTCAAGAAACTTCTCTCTGTCAAGATATATATATATGTCGTGACAGTTTAGACACCCTGTAAATCTCAATGCCTTATTTTAATATGACGCTCTGACACTATGCTTGCTAATGGACAAAGGTTTGTTAAAATTGTACACTTTTTATTTTTAATTAAAAAAATTCAGGTTGTAGACAGCTGATGAGAACCAACGAAATAAAATGGATCCAGATTATTCTACGATAACGTATCTCCTTTCTTTGTTCAAATTTATTAAAGGGAATCATTGTATGATAATGCGTTTGTTAGTTTCTGGCTGATTCATTTGAGTACCAGGCAGACTTCTAGAAATTCGCCGACCATGTTTTTAGTGTTTCCTCTATTTAAAATTTCTACATTATCCCAATCATCAAATTGTGATGTCCATAATTATCCACATGCATTGATACGAAGGAATATATATCATGTCATTTTAGAGCCAGTTTGTGTTCTTGGATTCTGATTCGAAGGGGACGTCCACTTTGACTGATGTAATGTCTGTTGCAGTTCATGCATACAATTTATTTTGTAAATGGAATTAATTTCGTTTTCTTTTTCTGTTGGATGAGTCTTTTGGTTTGCACAATATCGAATGACTTGATTGTGCTGGCTGGCTGACTTGTGTACTATATCTACTTCAAACGGTCTTGAAATTTTCTTGTGATCTTTGATAATGGTTTGTTGTTGGTGTTATGACTCGATTTTAAACACTTTTTGATGAAATTGTGGTGGGGATGTGCATTCAAAAGAACTGTCGTCAAGATTTGACAGAATATTTCTAAAATATTTGGGCACCGAGTGAGAAGTAGACATTTGTAGAAAATTATATTTGTAATATCTCAGCGAGATTGAAATGAGTAATTCCAACGTTTCGTTCGGCAATCTGGTCCGAACTTCTTCAGGGAAATTAATCAAAATTAACATAACAGAGGTTTTATATATATAATAGGCACATCTTTTGTTTTTAAAAACTTTGTCCAATCATGATTCATAAAACAAGTATTAACAAATATAATAAACAAAATTGTATGAGCTGCGTTCAAAATTTGACCTCGGACTTACAAATATTGGTCTACCTTTGTTAAACACTTTTAACAGAGTGTGCATGCGTGTATGGACAAACCCTGTTTGGTTTTTGCAAGCTAAGTATAGGATGACGAAGTCTTCATCTTGTGGACACCTAATGGAGTCAGATCATTCAGCCCAACGTGATTCATCCTTTTA